CAACCAACCAACCAACCAACCAACCAACCAACCAACCAACCAACCAACCAACCAACCAACCAACCAACCAACCAACCAACCAACCAACCAACCAACCAACCAACCAACCAACCAACCAACCAACCAACCAACCAACCAACCAACCAACCAACCAACCAACCAACCAACCAACCAATCAATAACAAATCAACGGATCGACCAGAACGAAAAAAAAACTAACGCGCCAACAATTGTCACGCTGCCCTCTCTTTCAGGGTTGCCCAGACATTTGACCCTCCCCGCCCTTTCGTAGAATGACGCCAGTCTGGCCCCCAGGTAGGCGGGGTAGCCCGAATCAGCGGGCATCTCCGCCAGACGCCCCGAAATTTCTCTGAGAGCCTCAGCCCATCTATATATGTGTGAGATTGTGGATCGTGTGTCGATTGATTGGTTAGTTGTTTGGGATTGTATGTAAGTTCATCGGTGTTGGAAAGTTATTAAAAATTACTATTGATTTCGTCAATCCATTTAGATCAATCAATCAATCAATCAATCGATCAATCAATCAATCAATCAATCGCTCGATCGATCGATCAATCAATCAAACAAACAAATAAGAAAAAACTTACCTAGAGGTTGAATCGGCCATCATAGCAACATTGTAACCCATGTCCCTGAAATACTCAGACAGTGTTATACCTAAAATAAATGAAAATTTGAATGCGTGAAAGAACGAATGAATGAATGTAAGAGTGAATAAATAAATAAATAAATGCAGGAAGGAATGAAGGAGAGAACGACAGACCAGTATAAATGGAAGCTTCCCTGGCGGCCACCGGCATGTTTGACGTGTTAGCTACAAGTGACGTTCGCTTCATGATTGATTCTGTCTTGCCGTTCACTTCCATGGTCAGCTGTCAATCAATCAATCAATCAATCAATCAATCAATCAATCAATCAATCAATCAATCAATCAATCAATCAATCGATCAATCAACAAATCAATCAACCAATCAACTAATCATTCAATCAGCCAATCAATCAATAATGATAATTTTTATAACGAAATCGACGATACGAAAACGAAATAAATTCCTATAATATGTGCTAGTCGCAAACAAGTAACAAATAAAAACGAACAAACCAAACAACAAAAAAAACCACACAAACAACAACATAACACCACACAAACAAACAAACAAACAAACAACAATACCACACAAATAAACAAACAAACAACATTACCACACAAACAAACAAACAACCGCCACACACACAAACACAAAAACAAGAGCATACTTCTGGAAAATCCCTGAGTACTTCTGACATCTCATTGCCCCTCTCGCCACATCCCACATAAATAACGATATCCGAGTTGGAATACTTGGATAGGGATTGGGATATTACGGTTTTTCCACAGCCAAAAGCTCCCGGGATAGCCGTGGTACCGCCCTGAACGCACGGAAACAGGGCGTCCAATACCCTGAACAATTAAACATAGGTATTTATCTTTACGAGTGTCACACACACACACAAATACACACACAAACAAACAAACAAACACACACGCACAGACAGACAAATGTACCTAAGCCCAGTCAAGAGTGGATGATTGGCAGCCAGTTTTTCGTTATAGGGCCTCATAGTCCTGACGGGCCAGACCTGCATCATAGTCAGATGGGTCACTTGGTTGTCGAACTCTAATTCCAATAACTTTTCCTGCGTTGTTTTATCATTATTAACATTTTCTCTAAATGAATGATTAAAAAATTTAGAGCAAATTACAACAGTAACGACGACGACGACGACGCTTACGAGATTTATACAGCGCTTAATCGCCAGTAAATAGCTAATTTATATAGAGCCTAATCAACAGTATTCTAGTAGTTAATGCTAATTTGTATATAGCGCTGTTACTTCCCAGAAGGCACTGACATGTGTGTCAGCAAGTATGGTCCACACACACGTAGATGCATATTTATCTTCATATCAAAATTTCAAATATTTGCACATGGATTAAAACAACAATTGCGCTGTCGTTTATTCAACAACTCACGATTTAGACGGACTGGTAAAAAGTCTTTTCACGAAAAACAAAAACAATAAAAATAATAATAACAACAGACAGAAATAATAATCATAGCAAGCAGCACACCTGTATGGTGTAGTTTCCAGGTTGGGCAATGAACTTGACAGTGCCCTTGACCTTTGGGGGCACCATTATGAAGTGGATGACCAGGGTGTTTTCTCTAACGTGGCCGAATATGTCCCCGCCTGTTAAGTGTGAGCCTACCTGTGTGTGTGTTTGTGTGTTGATCAATCAACTAATCAATCAACTGATCAATCAATCAACCAATCAACAAACTTTGGTAGACTTCTCGGGCTGGAATAGATACTGCACTTGCTGATCTAAGCTCGGAATGTTGACACCTAATTAAAAATGAGTAAAAGGTTAAAGGTTACTCTCTCTCAGAGGTTTCAGAGGTTTCAACGACAAACACACACAGCGCATATGAATACGCGTGCAAACCACGCATCATACACATTGCATATGATAGGCGGGGATCTCTTTGTATTCGAACCCAGTCATTGCAATAGCACGACCAGGCGCCTTTAACCATTGAGCCATCACGCCGTCATGACGTCATCCTCTTCATCACCATCACTATCAACCATCAGCAGAACATCATCAGAACATCATCATAGCAACCTTTTGGAATGTATATACTCTTCGTTAGTTCGTTAATATCTTTCAGTGGTCTTTGTATGCCTACGTAATATTAATAAATAATTACAATGCTAAATATATAAAATACACATACATACATATATATAAACAAACACACACACACACAACCATACATACATACACATACATACATTCCAAACAAGTAAAAATTCATAAGATGTTAAATAAATACTTATAAGCAAACAAACAAACACACAAACACGCCGCACACACACACACACACACACATACAGACGTACACACACACACACACACAGACGTACACACAGACGCACGTACACAAACACAGACCATCAAATATGTTGCCCATTATTCCAGGTCCCAACTCCACAGACAATGGTTTCCCTGTTCTCAATACTGGATCTCCAACTGTTACACCGGCTATAAAATAAAAACAAACATACATGAATGTTTATGGGAGAGAGAAAGAAAGAAGAAAGAGAGAGAAAGAGAGAGAGAGAGAAAGAGAAAAGAAGAGAGAGTATGTACAAGAAATTACAAACAGGTTTCTTCGTAGACTTGTATGGTAGCCATGTCGCCTTCCAGTCTAATAATCTCTCCGACTAACTCAAAATGACCGACTCTCACTAACTCGTACATGGCAGAGCCAGACATCTGCTGAGCTGTGACGACTGTATAGACAATTAATTTTTATTTTAAGTTATGTGTATTTAGTTTTTGTTAATTTTACTGTATATAATTCGTGATTAAATATTTCATTTTTGTTAAATTTACAATTTAAACTTGAAAATTTGTTAATTGTTAAAAAAATGACAATCGAGACATAATTAATAAAATATTTATGGGAAACCAACCAGGCCCAGAAACCGCATAGACAGATCCATATTCTTTTTCCTTTTTGTCTCTTCGATCAGCCATAATTTAAAATTCTAAGTTTTTTAAATTACAATTCTTTGAAAATCTATAAAAAGATAAATAATATGCAATAATAATATATTATAATAAATATATAAATAAATAATAAAAATAACAAATAAACAACTCATTTAATAATCACATCCCATTAACAGTTATATTATTATTAAACATACACTATTCAAATTGATAGGATAGATAGATAGATAGATAGATAGATGGATAGATAGATGGATAGATAGATAGATGGATGGATGGATGGATAGATAGATAGATAGATAGATAGATAGATAGTTAGATAGATAGATAGCTAGCTAGCTAGCTAGCTAGATAGATAGATAGATAGATAGATAGATAGATAGATAGATAGATAGATAGATAGATAGATAGATAGATAGATAGATAGATAGATAGATAGATAGATAGATAGATACATAAAATAAACCAAAAGGTATAAGTTGTAATAAAAACTTTTTATAAAAAAAATACTTGTAATTGATTAATAATACAAAATACTACTTATAAAGAAGTTAGTATTAAATAATAAATGCTCCAACTAACATTAAAATTAAAGCAACATTTACTAAAATGGTAATAAAAAATTTAAGATAAAATAAAGCCAAAATTGATGAAATTAAATTCTAAAGTATGCTACAACAGTCAAATTTGACATTGAAAATACCATCACCAGAGCAATAATAGAGAGTAAAGCAACATTTGCTTATTTTACTCAAACTAGTTATAACCAGAGCAAATACTTATACTTCTAGTATAAAAAAATATTTATGCATATACATCCATCCATATATCATGTACAATACAAATATTCATGCATACATACATATATACATACACATTTTAATATGCATATACAGACATTGGTTATATAAAGTATATATAGTATATATATTATATATTCACTCATATCACATGAGTATTCTACAGGTACTACACAATTGTATGTTCTTGTATGAGTGGAATAATCTAGCTAATTAGGTTTAAACTGCCTGAAGCAATATAAAAAATCATTTATTTTTTCATTTTACTATTCATAATTGATAATTCATTCATTCAACAATTCAACCATTAACAAATTTATCCATTTATTCAATCATTAATTTAATGAGCAAAAATACAAAATGACTAACCAACACATGCAAGCACATTAATTAAGAAAAAACATGTGATGTGAATTGTGGTGAATTAATTAGTCAATCACAATGGTATTATAAACAAATAATAAAGTATTAGTTTGCCGTCATAAATTAAAAAAAGTGATGATTTTACATCATTTTTGCAAACATTTTATCCAAATAAGTTAGTTGATGGATTTAATTTTATGTAAAAAAATCAAAATAATCTGGAAAGAATGTTTTTTGTAGTTTAAGTAAATATTTAAAAAAAACTACTGCAAACCTTACAAATAGAGAAAATCCTCGGTTTTATCGATATTTATTAAAATTAATATTGAATATTTTATTTAATTGTTAGAGAAAAAATAAATTAAATAACCGATTTAGACAAGAAAAATCAGGTTTTATTTGGTCATCTGACAGTAGAATTAAAATTTAAGTGATGTTCCAGTTGTTATTTCTACGGTAACTTATATGGCGTCCCTTGCGTTTAAAATCTAAACAGATTTAATGTAAACATTTATCCAAAATATCCATTTTATTTGGTTAAATATAAATTGTTCTTGAAGTGTATATCATTTTTTTTGTTTGATTAAATTTTTTTTAGCTCCACAAATATGCGAATTTCTAAAAAGCAGAACAACCGATATTGTCTTAAACTTGGCCTTACAACAGGGGTGGGTAAACTTTTTGCTGAGGGCCGCATTGAGAGCCATTTTACCTTTGATGGGCCGCATATGTACTTAAATAACAAACTTTTTAGACCCGAGAGAAAATTTGTGGCTCCTTTTTTTGCTCATGTCTGGCATGTGTGTTTGCCACCCTTGCCTTACAAAATAATAATAACTGAAATAACTTCATCCAGGTTTTATCAACTTTATCAAATCTTTTGTATAAAATAAAAAACTGAAAATTAAAAAAGTCAATCATATTAACAGTACAACAATAGAGAATGCATCCATCTATTCAATTATTCTATTCATGAAATTAAACGTTAAATGATTTAATTTTTATAGAATTCATTTGATCGGTTTAATATTCTTCTTCTGTTTCAATTTATTTATTATTGCATTCCATCTATCCAGCCATCCTTTTACATTCAGTTCATCCACTAATATCCAAGGAACTAAATGCTGGGCTGGCTGAATCCACCTGGAGAAAAATGAAAAAAAGCGCTTTACAAACTAATTGATTGATTGTAGTTAATAATAATATGACAGTAAACAGCAAATTATGCATAACGCACTGATTAAAAAAAATTAGAACTGAAAAATCAAGACAAAAATTACGCAATGATAACTAAGTGTTCGATTGGTTGATTGAAAAGAATTATCCAACCAATCAGAAACGTGATTGAAAAAATTATCTAACCAATCGGAGAGGTTTCTATTGATTCGGGCACAGGCAGCCAATGCTTGTTGAGATTGATTGATCCGAGAGACTATCATTGGCTGGTACGTTTCAATGTGCTGTTTTTCAGCAATAGATAGCTTTACACCCAAATCTGAGTTTATTTTCACGAGAAAAAAAAAACTATTTTTCCAAATAAATGAAAACAATTAATCGTCAGGTACCTCAACATATTATTACTTCGACAAAATAAAATTATTTTTAACAGTAAATGACCGATATATATATATATATATATATATATATATATATATATATATATATATATATATATACACATGTGCGTTGGTAGTTGAAGATTGATAACAAATTGTTGCCCGGAAATGATCTAATCAAAAAAACGTCATCTAAACAAGTTAGAGAAATGCGAAACCAAAAAATAATTTTGGCCAAATCGATTTACATAGAAAATCTTCACACACGAAATTTTCATCGAAATTCCGAAAAATAATAAACATTTCATCAAAAGAATTTACTTTTCAACTCGTCAACCAGGCTACAAATTTGTTGCGAATGAATTGAACTCCCAAAGCCAATGGATCCGGACTGGCGCAGGCGAGCGTGTTGGCACGAATCCAAGCCTACACCCAGTATGGTCGCAGCTATGAAGAGTAGCAGGCCATCAGAAGACTGGAAAATATGACACAAAATAATAATCAATAACGCTACTTCTCAAGACAACAGTAACAATGATTTATTACAGTTAGGTAATCAACTTCACAAAAACACAGTCTACTAACTTTATAACTGGGTAATTCCAGAATATCTAAAACATCATTGGTTGCCTTCGTATAAGGCCATGCCTCATTAATTAGCAACTCGTGAATACTCGCATTTGATTGGTTGCCAGCACTTAGAATGAAAAATAACATTGCAACATTGTTACTAAGGATAGAAATAATACTGAAAATAATAATTTAATTAACATAAAGAGGCTGACATCAGCTTATATTTATTAAGTCCAATCCAGTTGAAGAGTTCAGCTTCATTATATAACAAGCGCTGTGATTGGCAGGTTGGATATTTAAACTGACCAACCAGCTCTCTTCTTACATAACTGACTATCTGATAGGTTAGAAAAGAACAATAAAAATATGAATAATCATAATAAGAATGATAATTAACGGCGGTAAGATTATCAACTAATAATTATAAATAAATAATTAAAAAGAATAAATTTGTTTGGATTTGGATGAAAAAAGTGTTTAAAAAAGAACTAAACCTTATTCTGGTGCGATAGGATGGATTGGTTGTACAATGAGCTATTGGCTTTCATATTAAGAAATAATTTCTCTTTGTCCATCTATAAATAACATGAATAAAAACAATAATAATAATAATAACAATAATAATAACAACAATAACAATAGCAATGATGATAATAATATCAATAATAACAGTAATGAAAAAACTAGCCAATGTCTTTTTAGTATCCACTATCTTTTGAAATTTTGAATTAACCATTTCCTGTTTATTTTGACCTTCCTGAATTTCCTTAGTCAGCCTCTTCACGTGACCTTCTAATTTCAAGATGGCACCTTTCAAGATGGCCGAACGTTTTTCAAGTTCAAAGCTTTCCCTGTGGGATTGAAAAACTCCATGTATTTGTCAGGGTAGAAATGGTATTGCCAATATCAATACCGACATTAAAATGTATTGTATCTGCAAAATGAAAAGAGGAGGTAATTGTGTATGTATGTATGTGTGTGTGTGTGTATATGAATGTATGTGTATGTATGTGTGTGTATGTATGGGCTGTGTGTGCGTGTATGTACGTGTGCATATATACATGCAACTACTAACAATATCTTTTCACAATGCGGCCTTTGCTGTAGAATTAGCTGTCTGCAAGCCTCATTCAGGCCATCATTCATTCTTTCATCAAAATAAGTTTCGTTCTTCAGTCGTTCCGTCACCATACATCTCTCGGCTATCTCTTCTTTTAGTTTCTATTTTTGAATTAACATCATAAAAAAAACACACACACACAAACACACACGCACGCACGGACGCACACACACACACGAACTAACGTAGAGGACTTTGTTCAATTGGGATGACTTTGCCAAATTTCTTTTTGGTAAAAAATATGAAAACAATGTTAACTTTGCCAATACTAATAAAAAAAACATTGACAATAATAAAATGAATAAATTAGTATTTAATTTAAAACCCCCTGACTTTTGATTGGCCAAGATCTGACCGAGCCTGCGATGTGATTGGTCCATTGAATCAGCCAACAGTGAGACGGTTTGATAGGGTGTAGATTTCTCCACTAAAAGTTTGACTTCATCTTCTATTTTTAACTGCTGACTAATAATAATAATAATAATAATAATAATAATAATTATAATGATAATAATAATAAATAATAATAAAAACCTCAACCAATTGTGATTGACAGCTTTCAAGAAAGATTTGTGATAGTAATCTTCAACCATTGCGCAACAGGTTGTCAGGTGCTTAACCTTTTAATGATGATGATGATGATAAATAATAATAATAATAATAATAATAACAACAACAATAATAATAATAACAACAATAAGAATAATACTAAACATAATTTAAACGTTGCTAACCTTGTTATCATCGTCGTTATCATCATTGTAGATTCTTCTCGCTTTAGGACTATTCTCATTGGCTTCAGATTTTCTTAAATGAAAAAAATCATGATGACGATGATTCATTCATTTGTTCACCCCCATTCATTCTATCAAACAGTAATTCACTAATTCATCTATTCATTCTTTCATTCATACATTCATTCAAACACAGGCACACTCAAGCAACTGTTGAGTCAGTGGTTCTTTCATTCGTTCATTCCTGCTTTTATTCATTCATTCACTAATCAATTTATTCATTCACTCGCTCGCTCACCTCCTAACATCATCCAACTTCTTAATTCTTTCATCCACCATCATCATTAGTTCATTCAAACCATCCTTTCTTTCTTCCAATGATTTCTTCATTTCATCATTCAATTTGTTCATGATTGACTGATTAATCACTTCTGTCTTTCTTTTATTACATATCAATTCTGCATACGAGTGAATGAATGCACGAATGAATCAATGAATGAAAGCTTGAATGTACGAATGACTGAATGAATGAATGAATGCATGTATACGGGGATGAATGAATAAGTTATCATCATCATTATCTTCATCATCATCATCATCATTATCGTCATCTTTATCATTATCATCATCCTTTTCTTCTTCTTCTTCATCATCATCATCATTATCATCATCGTCATCTACTTCATCATCATCATCATCATCATTAACGTTGATCTATAATTTCTTTTTTAATCCTATCAATATCTTTGCACAGAATCACTATAGAATCATCAATTTCGGAATTTTCTCTTTCAATTTTATCAAGTTCTTTGGTCATGTGACGCATTTTTTCATCATCATCATCATAATTATCGTCACCGGAAGTGCTCTTTTTTGATTGGCAGACATTTTTATCTAAGGTTTTTGTGTCTTTATTTTTATTGGACGAGGATCTGAAGTTTGAATTTGATAATCATCATCATCATCATCGTCATAACAATCATCTTCTTAATCATTATCAGCATAAGACTCATCATCTTCATCATCACCATATTGTCATCACCAACAGAAGCATCACCATCATCACCAATCAGGTCATCATCATCATCATTGTCGTCATCACCAATCATAACCACAATTATCATCGTCGTCATCATCATCACCACCATCATAACCTACATTAACAAATTTCCTTTGATCTTCTTGACTTCACTGTGAGTAATAAAAATAAAATAATAATTATTATTACTATTAATAAATAATAATAATTAATAATAATAATTAATAATAATAATTAATAATAATAATTAATAATAATAATTAATAATAATAATAATATAATTATTTTAAAGGCTCACTTGGCTGGTCTGATGTTTCTAACAATGTACTGCCAGATATGCTTATATTTATCAGACATAAACCTACATAATTAAAATTAATTACTTAAATAATAGTGAAATATATTAAATTAATAATTATACCATAATAATTAGAAAAATAATATAATTAATTTCTGATGTGTCTTGAATAAATTGACAAATTTCACATCCAATCATATAGACTTATATATCATTCATCTTATATACATAGGTACAAACACAGATACATACATAAAAACACACAAATGTGCACACACATACACATAAAGACATACATAGTACACATAGAATATATAGATAGAAAGATATAGCATGTTTTTTTCAAATCATTCATCTTAATGATAAAATAAAACATACAAACAGCCATAGTCACATATAAATAAAGTAGAAATTTGTTTTGAAATACTATTTTTAGAATAAATTACAAATATTACACCAAAAAAAACATTGATCAATCCATGGCATATATTATTCTATCTAGATAGCTAACACTTTGCAGTCGTCTGGTCTGAGATGAATGTTGAATTTATTATTCTCCGGTATGTGCATCGTCTCTGTCAGCCATTTTTGAAAATCTTTCACCAATGCTGCCTGACTGGATGAGGTCATTTTTTATTAGGGACTACTGAGCTACTACTCCAAACTAACTCTAAATCTATTTTACTAAAGCAAGAAACTCTAATGTCTAGTGACTTTAAGTCTTAAGATTAAAAAAATTTTTTAACTGGACTAGTCTTGGCATTTAAGTTATTTTTTTAGGTCCTATTTAATATTTATTTAATAATAATTTAGTATTTATTTTTAATTAATTACTAGTAAATTTTTGTTAAATTAATTATTAAATTTTAAACTAAATATTTCCTAGATCTTAGTTTTTTCTGTTCAATTCAGCTCTGTCACTAAAAATTTGTGATCTAACAATGATCTATTTTTAAGTAATAAAACAAATGAAGATATCATTTGTTTATTATTATTTAAATCGAAAGTTTACGACAAAAAAACGGAGAACTAAAGTGGAAATTTAAAAATAGCGCTCCGCCATATATATTTTTTAATTAAAACTTAATTTAGGTAACAACTAAAACAAAGTTGAATTTATTTCATCTCTGCCATTGTCTATGCTGAAAATGATTATTTAAAATTGAAAATCAATTGAATTTATTTTAATTTATTTAATTTTATATAGAAAAAACTTTTTATGAAGAGTTTGATAAAATTGTTAAATTAATCGCTAAAAAAGAGGTCACAAGAGTTTTCGTCTTAAATTTTATTAATAGTTCGTTGTTATTAATTATCATCCGATGTGTATTTTTGTTCTGCGATTATTAAATTTAATTAAATTTTTCAATAAAGTAAAATATTATTAAGTAATAAAAAAAATAATGGCTAGCACTGCAGCTACTGCTAGAATTCAGCCGAAAAAGCAAACTTTAGATGATGCTTACGCTCCCCCGGCTAATTTTCTCGAAATTGACGTAATAAATCCGGAAACCCACGGATTGGGTAAGAAGAGGTACACGGATTATGAAATTCGTATGAAGGTTTGTTTGAGATTTTTTTCCCAAATAAAAAAGTTCTAGTTCAAAGAAATAGTTTATTTTTAGTCCAATTGAATTTTTTGATCCTGTGGGTGTGGGATGGTGGGCGTCGCCTGCCTATTTTTCCGATTGGTCTAACTAAAATCCAACAATAATTTATTTTAATTGTATTCAACAGATTAAACTATTCTTACAAAAATTTTTTTTTAAAATTTCAGATTAAAATAAAAATTATTAAAATTTCAACTGATGAATCAATGGTAGTGCTACTGAAAACTAATTTAATGTTAATCTTCACACTTTTTTTAGACTAATTTGCCAGTTTTTAAAATCAAAGAATCGTCTGTCCGTCGAAGGTACAGTGATTTCGATTGGCTGGCTGCTGAGCTTGAAAGAGACAGCAAGGTTACAGATTTGTGAATTTTTTTCCCAATAATATCTGTCTTCTAAATTGAAATTTCTAAAATTAACATATAAAAATGAATGATCTGTCAATCAAAAATTTAAAATTAAAGAATATTGAAAATTAATTTATACAGAATACAACAACAACAACACACGTTTAGACGACATTTTCCCCGAGATCGGGGGTTGCCGTTTGGCTACCTATGATGAAACCGAAATACCCCTCAACGCCATCCACATCTGTCACTCGCCTCAGTATCACGCAACCCAGCTTTTACCCTGTCCTTCTCCACCTGCTCTCTCCATCCCAATCGCGGATGACCCCTTCCTACCACTCCTTCAACCTCGAACTCCAACGCTCGCCTAATCCCGACCCTTTCATCCCTTCTCAACACATGTCCATACTATAACAATCTCGATCTCCTTATCAATGTCACAATGTCCTCATTCAGTCCCATCATTGACATCAGCTCTGTACTACTCCTCCTATCCTTCACTTTAACCCCACACATCATCCTCACCATAGCTCTTTCAGCCCTCTGCAGTACACTTTCCTCCTCTCTCCTCAACACCCAAGTTTCACCACCATATACCATCGCTGCTCTCACACATGCTTTATATACCCTCCCTTTCATCTTCACTGACCATTTCTTTCCACATTATTTATACAGAATAATTTTTGTAAAAAATATTGTGCTAAAATAAATCACTAATTGTTTATTTCTTAAAACAATTCAGGTAGTATTATTAACAATCATTTGCACTGACAATCACTTATTTATAAATAGCATCTAAAAAAAGATAATAAATTAAATTATGTTAGATTGTGGTACCTATGCTACCGGGAAAGGCCTGGGGCCGACAGCTACCTTTCAGATCTGATGACGGTTTGTTTGACGAGGAATTCATCGAGGAACGTAGGAAAGGACTAGAGATTTTTATCAACAAGTCTGTGATTAGTTTTCATTCTAAAAACTATTACCATCACCACTATCACCACCACTATCATCATCATCATTATTCTTACTTTTATTCAATTAATTGAAAAAAATGTCAATACTTATTTGTAATCTGAATTAATTTACTGTTTTTACCATTATGTCTGATGGTTTCTAAACTTTTAATCGTCTTTTTATCGCCAGTGTAATTCTTTTCATGTTCATCATCATCGTTTTTCAACTCAACATACAAGGTAAACTGTAATCATCATCTTTAGTATGCTATATTATTATTCTTATTATGTAATTATATTATTATTACATTACTATAATTTGGGGTGGTATAATTTTTTTATCTTGATCATCAGGGTAGCAGGTCACCCACTAGCACAGAACGAGAAATGCCTACACATGTTCCTACTGGAGCCGACTATTGATAAAAATTACATCCCCGGAAAGGTGCGCACTACGTAAAACAATTTTGAGGAGAGAGAGGGAGAGGGAGAGTTTTGTAAAATAGTAAATGTGTGTAATGTTTGTGGAGAAAAATGTAAAGAAAATTGGCTAAGTGATATGTAAATGAATTTGCTACTTTGAGTGTAAAGTTTAAATTGTACATTACCTACAATATCGAATTCTACAAATTAAAATGTCTTGTTAAGTGTGCAATTTTGTAAAGTTGTAAATGTGCTAATCTGGAAATTGTAATTTTTAAACTATGTAAAGCAACGAATGAATTATACATGCACGCATGCATGTGTATAAATGAATGGGATGACTATGTTTGTATGTGACTGGGCATGTATATGTAGCATTGCATATGTCTCTGTATGTAGGAGTGTATGTGTAATTGTATGTATCTGTGTCTCTCTCTCTGTGTGTGTGTGTGTGTGGGCGTGTGTGTCACTACCATTTAAATTCTGATGCTTGAAAAGGGATATTTATACTAAAATAAATTTGTAGAATGCTATAACTTTATAATTGTTGTCATTATTGTATTGTATGCTTATATTGTCATATATATATATATTTATATTTATGTATATGTATAGTACCATATTGAAATTATTTTTAAATTATTTTTCAAGTTAACTGTGCTATTGTTGTTAATTCATAATTATCGTTATTGCTAACAATAATATTATCTTATTGTAAATATATATATATATATGTATATATATATATATATATATATATATATATATATATATATGTGCATTACATATATACATTACATGTACACATGCATTATATCTTTGTCTGCATTTGGAAATGAATATAGCACACTGAGAAGATACAATTGCTTTCAACTTATTGCTAAAAGGTAGAAATAGAAGTAGCAAACTAACACCAGTGTGAAAATTTCTGACTGATTGATCTGGAAAGTGATTGATTGAATGGTTGGTTGATTGATTGATTGATTGAATGGATGGTTGGTTGATGCGTGTATGTTTTATTTTACAGTTTTCTTTAATGTTTTCAAGTTTTAACAACGGACACGCTGTGTGATGTGCGAATCTAAACACTCATTAATCAACCATAACTTACATTACTTTAGGATCGGCACGTCAATCATTAAACCTTATATGTATGTACAATGTGTGTGTGTGTGTGTGTGTTTGTGTGTGTGTTTATGTTGTCTAGGTGTGAAAAGCCAACGAAACGATGGAATAAATTATAAGTTGCATTTTATCATATGATAGGATCTTGAATTAGAAATGAAAAAAAATCAATCAAAAATGAATAAAAATAATAAATTATTAAATCAATCAACAACAATAATAATAAATAACAAGAATAATAATAATAAATCTTTATATGGAATGACTCGGAAGTGGTGTCATACACGCTTTTGCATTCATCACTAACTAACTAACCTCTCAAATAATAATAATAATAATTAATCAATCAATAATAATAATAATTAATCAATCAATAATAATAATAATCAATCTTCGTTTAGCGTCCAGAGACCTAGTTCCCCCAGATTTAGATTAGATTTCGGTAGATTTAGGTAAATAATAATAATAAGATTAAAAATAATAAGATCAGTAATAATAATAATAACGAGACTAATAACATCTTAACAATCTGTACTTCATTTTACTTAATACAGTAAATTAGACAAATTCGGTCAATATTAACGAAAAATACACACACACACACACACACACATATATATATATATATATACACAAACGTCCTAACGAAGATTGATTTGATTGATATATATATATATATATACAGATATATATATACACACAGAGTGATATATATATATATATATATATATATATATACACACAGATATATTTAGTGATATATGATGAAACGAACGAATAAATGAATGAATGAATTCAATGTCAGGCAATTTGCTTATAGTAGAACAACGTGCAACTTGAATGAAATTAATTTATCTTTGAGTCAACCAAAACCTTTTTAATATTAACAGTTTTTTAAAATAAGAAATACGAAACTGTATTAATAACCATAACGAAAATATCAATAATAATAATAATAATAATAATAACAATAACAAACATAATAAAAAAAATCAAAAGAGCAATGATAATGATAATAATCTTCTTAGATACTCTCTTTAACATCACCACCATCATCATCATTTATTGTTATCATCTTCGTGATCGTCATTCACATTACCATAATTATCATTATCACTATTATTATTAACGTTATTATTATTATTATTATTACTATTTTTAGGTTTTATCGTTACTCTTATCTTTCCAGCATCGTCATTGAAGTAGTCGCCGAGTCTAGGCGAGCTATAGCTGAAGGGTATCAAATGAGCCTCCGTGTTGAATATGTACTCATTCAGTGAGACGTAGTTTGGATCGTCAGTGAATAAGAGGTAGAAGTATTTCAACGTTTCCGACAGCCAGAAACTCTCCATCTTGTTTCTCGGCTGCACGTTTGCGGGGTTCTGTACATTCCCTATTGAGGTATAGCCCCCTTCTACTTTTGTATACTTTTCGAAGGCCTGAAGGTTTAGGCGTGTGTGTGTGTTTGTCTGCGTGTGTGTGTTTGCGTTTGTCTGTGTGTGTGTGTGTATGCGTCTGTACGCCTGTGTATTCGTCTGTCTGGGTATTTCTTCGAGAGTGTATATCATTCAATGCGTAGTGGCGTACGCACTTATTCGTACTTATGAGATATGTTTTTGTGTACACCTATAAATGTGTGCACGTGTGTGTGTCTATATCTTGCATATTTATGTACGAACTTGAAAAATCTTCCAGCCGACGTCTTGGTACGTTTTATTTCCAGTCAGTCTGTAGAGATAGAAGAGGCTTTCGATGGTTTCAGGTCTTTGCAGGTTGTGTGAATCTGCTGTCTATGGCGGTGATGATGATGATGACGATGATGATGGGGGTGGTGACGACTATAAAAATTATTATTAATAATATAATATTATTATAATAATTATTATTATAAATGGTAGTAGTAGGGGAAGATATCACCTTGACAAACATTTCTTGTTGAATGGTGGAATTTTTTTGCGTGTTGAAATGAACAATTTCAGGGCTCAAACCCGTCTTCATTCTATTATAGAACTCTATACAGGTATCTGTCAGCCTGTGGTTGGTCAGTTGGTTGATTGGTCGATTGATTGGTTGGTTGGGTGGTCAATTGGTCGGTGAGTTGCTTGGTTGAAAGGTTAGTTGACATACGAGTCACCATTCCATTGTTAAACTCCGTGCAGGTGTGTGTATATGAGTCCGTCAGTGATTAGTTGTCAATGAATTTATACAGTATGTGCGACAAACAGGCAGATTGTTTGACAAGCTGATCGATTAAACATTAAAATAAGTTATTAACCTTCGACCGAATGTCATGAACTTTGACCTTTCAAGACCTTTGCTAGCTGCCAGGGCTAAATTGCCCCCAAGGAAACAAACCAAGTGATCCTGACAATAAAAAATAAAATCACCATCAAAAACTCCACCAAACAACAACAACAACAACAAAAACCATTTTGGGACTAAAATTGTTGCCAGCCAATAACTCTCCAACGTATAGAAGCTTGCTAGCTGAAGTTTCTCTCAGCAAAAGTTCCTCCATACCTTTCATGGCTTCTATGTAGTCGCTAGCCGCGCTGGTTGGTTGAGTTAGTGGTTTGTCGATTGATTGGTTGGTCGAGACCAATCAAAAAACAACACCCCACCCAATCAGCAAACCAATCAGCCAATCATCAACTACCCGCCAATCAACAAACCAACTCACAAACCAATCAACATACAAATCATACAACCAATGAACCACCTCCTACTCAACCAATCAACATACAAACCACTCAACCACCTCATACTTAACCAATCAACATACAAACCAACCAATCAATCAACCATGCAACCACTTCCTACTCAACCAATCAACCAACTCAGAATCTCCGGTAAGCATCCAGATCTTCAGTAGATATTCGTAATAACTATCCCCCCTGGCACCAAAGGTGATGGTGGCCGATTGTCTGAAAGCCCCGGTGCTCGGGTTGATGTAGATCGGCACCAAGCCCTGCTTCTTGTACAGGTTGTGTAGGTGCTTTGTCACTCGCATGGCAGCTTTCTGGTTGATTGATTGAGTGAATGATTGATTGAGTGGTTGATTGATTAATTGGTTGATTGATTAATTGGTTGATTGATTCAGTGACTAATTGATTGGCCAAGTGAATACGTGTATGAATGTGGAAGCAACATCATCACAACCACCATCATCATTTACATCATCACCATCACCATTGACATCCTCATCATCATCACCTCATATTTAGGATCGTTGGTGACACGAGAGAGATCAATGAACTCCAACTGAATGGTCGACACTTCGGATGTTGAACTCTCGCTACCCCAGGCTGGGTTGTGACCTCGGTTCGAGCTGAAGTCTACATCAGAAAATGGAACTCCTGGTTAATTGATTGAATGGTTAATTGATTGAATGGTTAATTGATTGAATGGATAAGTGATTGATTAGTTGGTTGATTGAATAGAGTGGTTGAGTGTTTGATTGGTTGAATAATTTACGGAATGAATAAATGAATGAGTGACAGAGAATGGCTTAATTGATGAAAGACTAAATTTCTGATTGAACTGATGATCGACCGAATGAGTTAATGAAGAAACGAGCGAATGAATAACAGAAAAAATGAGTGATTGATTGAAAAGATAGATGGTTATCCGAAAGAACGAACAAATGATTGAAAAGAAGAAGAAAAAGAAGTGGAAAAAAAAAGAAAATAACCTGAGCTAGTATCAAACGCAGGCATCAGTTTGTCACCTAACTCTTGCTGTAGGAATGATTACAAAAGTCATCAGACATTATCCACAATACCAACGATCAAACTAACCAACCCGCCAACCAACAAGCCAAAAAACCAGCTAATCAATCAGTCAATCAATCAATCATCTAGCCAATCAATCAATCAACCAGCCAATCAATCAATCATCTAGCCGATCAACCAACCAATCAATCAACCAACCAATCAATCAACCAACCAATCAATCAATCATCTAGCCAATCAACCAACCAACTAGCCAGCCAACCAACCAACCAGATACTCAACTAACAGCTTTCTTCAAGAAGATGCTATCGCCAGAGAGATGGAATGCACTAAGGAGACCCCCAAGAACTCTGATGGTGCACTCAAATAAGTTGATGTTGCTACCTCTGTCAAAACTCAAACTGTTCGCCACCCAACTTTTCGCCTCTTCAAATTCTGTAGGTCATGATGATGATGGTTGTGATGATAATGATGGTTTTGATGATAATAATGGTTTTAATGATAATAATGATGAAGATAGCTGTTGTGATGATGATGATGATGATAGTGGTGGCTGTAATGATGATGATGGTTGCGGTGATATGACTGATTGTTGTGGTGTCATCCTAACAATCGACTTTGAAGACAACAAACGAAAACAACAGCACTGAAATTGATATAAATTTGTAGTAAGAACAACATGAAGCAAACAACCAAAACACACAAACATACATATAAACATCCATACAGACATACATACAAACATCCATACAGACATACATACAAACTTACATACAAGTGCACTGTACATATACATACAGACATACGTACAAACATCCATGCAAACATGCATACAAGTGTACATACAAGTGCACATACATACAAACCATTCAGAAGGCCCATAATATACAATGTATCAAGAGAGTCAACAATGGTTAAGCCTAGATTGAACCACATAGAGAATGTTTTAGACAGCGGTTTCAATTCATCATAGCCCCATGCATATTTCTTGTAATTCTAGTGTTTTTTTATGTTTACTATTAATTATTATTTATGGCATTAATTGTTATTTTTATATTTATCAAACAACCAATCAGTCTTAATCAATCAATCAACCAATCAGCCAACCAACCAACCAACCAACCAGCCAACCGACCGACAGCCAAACAAACCAACCAACTAACATTCCAAGAATGTTTGAAAGCATCCACAACAGCCTGCATCCTTTCATTGGTTGGGCCTCTAGCAACAAATGGCTTCTGCTTATTTGGTTTGCCATTGTTAGGCGGTTTCAGAAGCTGATGAAAGTGAAGTTTAAAAGTTCATTTTATTTGATTAGAATAAAAAATAAATTAAATTACAAATAATTGAAATCAAAAACATTCCCACAACCAGAAACAACATCACAAAAAGGCCAATTTTTAAAATTAAACTTAAAAACCAAAAAAACCCCAAAAACTAACATTTGGTACCTGCTTGTTAACACCATTTTCACCATTAGATATAACAACAGGTGGAATTTCAACTGGAATCAAACCAGCATCATTATCTGGTGCTAAGATGAGAAAAAAAATTATTAAATATTAATATTAATTTATCATCAAAATGATAATTAATTAACCAATCAAATTAAACAAAAACAATTAAAGTTTAATTATTAAACCAACCTACCAGCCAATTAAATCAAACCAAACCAAACCAATGGATCAAATCAAATCATAAACACACAAACCAACATGTCTTTTTAGTTTTAGTAGCAGCAAATACAGGTGAATCTTCTATATTAAGTCTAGGATAGGAGTGCCATTGGTAGAGTGTGAATACTAAAAATAGGACACAAATTAGGAGCAAGCTTCTTTGTAGACTTGACAACCTTTTCCATTTCTGTTAAGTAAGGGTATCAAGTTTTATATATACCATTTTGGGGATTTCAAGTAAATTTTATCACAAATTAAACATTAACAATATAAAAATAGGTGGAGCTTGGCTGTGTGTTTTCTTCTAGCAAGTATTTTTTAAAATAATGGAATAATAATAATGTATTATAATATTAAAATTTTTTTAAATTTATTTTGTTTTTTAAAATATAATAAAATAACATAAAATATAATATCAAAAATCAAGGTGCTCTATGACACAACCTGATTAATTATTTAAAATGATATAAATTTATTACTAAGAAAATAAATTTATAAATTAAAATTTTCCCTAATTCCTTAACTAACCCTCCACAATGATTGGCTCCTGGGTTTGAGCAAGTCTGCACTGTCCAGCTTTATAATGAAATCATCTCTCGTGTTCTTCATCTGGGACGGAATTTTTCGCGAAATAAATATTCAAAACTAAAAAACTGGTTTTAATTAATATTTATCTATTTTAATTTTATTTAATTGAAAATATTAAAAAGCGTTTTTTTTTAAATTCAATAAAAAAAAATTTAAAACGATTTCCGATTTCGGTAAAAGGAGAGAAGACGATTAAAGAAATTAATATGCTGAAATTTTATTTAAATTCTAACTAACATTAGATTTATTTTATTATTTATTTAAATTTTTTCCTATTGTCATTTTTTAGACGAAAAACGTATTTTAATCAAAATTTGTAAACAGATTAAAAGTGGATTTAAAATCATAAGTAGTCATGGTGGTTGTCTTATCGTTTAATGTTTCATTGGAATTAAATCATACGTAACAGATTTTGGGTGAGTTTTTGATTTTCTAATCAATATTTTAGTTTTTATTGCATAAAATAAGGATATAAACTATATAAATTTTGACAAAATAGAATCTAGAAAACCTGCAAAAAACTTTGAATGTCTACCAATTAACCAACCAATCAACCGATCGACCAATCAACCAACCAACCATTTAATTTAAACTCAACCAATCAACCAACCAACCATTGAATTTAACCTTAACGGCCCACTATACAACTACCCTAATATTTTTAATTATTTTATTCTTAATGGATTGAAACTCCATAATGATAAATTACATATAAAATATATTATACAGCAACGATTGCAATTCAAATGTAGTTTAAACAAAAATTATTCCTACCAACTAGAGGTAAAAAAATTTAAACTTTTTTCAAGTTTTTATTATTTATATTAAACCGCTTTTGAATCTACATAATTTGTTTGTTTAAATTAATTTTCATGATTGCACACAAAATGATAACTTTAAACAGCAGAGTCACCGATGTTCAATGAGACCTCTTACACTAAAACAAATATATCTCATTAGTCAGTGCGATTGGTGAACTACAAAAAGTTTCTAATTTGGTAGCCATTGCTCCTTAGGATATGGCACATTAAATTTAAATTCACGTAACGAACTTCAATTCCCTCTACCTACCTATCTATTCACCTATATGTAAGGTAAATGTAAGACAAGGCTCTCTTCTCTGGAAGGTTAAGGTAAAGCGTTTAACAACATATGTAATGGTTTTTTAATTTCATTTGATTAAAAGTACTTTTTCATAACGTAAGGAAGAATGGTGGATGTGATGTTTCGCGAAAAGTTCGAGTCCCTTACGGTTGAATGTTGAATTTTTATCAACGAATTTTATTCTTTTATCAATTTATTTTATCTTTTACAACGCAAAGAATGATTTAAAATATCAAAATGTAGACGAAATAAAGTCCCCGAATTCAGCAAAAAACTCGAGTATCTAAACTTATCTCGATTCTTTTTATAAAATTCATTATTCAAATTTTTACTAAATATATTTGAAACAAAAAAGACAATTATTATTCAAGAAAAAAAAAACGAAAAATAAAATCGAAAACCATCACCAAGAATTCTCAGGCGATTAAGTCATGATGTCTTCGCGTGATCTTGACGTATTTGTAATCTTTTGCTTTCGTCATCGCTCCTTCAATATGGAATTTCCATGCCAAAAAGTCATAAAAGCCTTTTCCTGTACATATAATCACCGACCTAATTAACAAAGTAAAAGATGTCAATGGTTCACATTCGAACGTTCTTTGGTACGAATATTTGAGTAAAATTTTTTGGTCTATGTTTCCGCTATCAGCTACATAATGTTTTGTTATTGTTTTTTAAATTACGTCATTGTCAACATCATCATCACTTTCACATTCATCATCATCATCTTCGTCATCACATTATTGATAAATAGTTGAAATGACTGGCATATATACAAACATGCATGTAATATCTTTATGCGTGATGAAATGACGTCACCATCACCATTACCAACGTCTCTTCCTTCATCATTACCATCGTCATCATCGTCATCGTCATCGTTACCATCATCACCGTCGCATATTTTCTCATTAAAATTGAACCTCTTGTGCAACACTAACAAGGCGCTCTTAGAGTCGCCATCATCATCACGACCGCCACCACCATCATCATCATCATCATCATGATTATCACCATCATTATCATCACGAACATCAATCCATCCATCCATCTTCAACAAAATTAACAACTACAACACTTACAACGTCTTCAGCAGCTGTAACAGCCACATCATCGTCATCATCATCATTATTATCATCATTATCATCATCATTATCATCATCATCATCATCGTCATCATCATCATCATCTTTAAACGCATTCATTCCGCAGTCCAAAGAAACAAACTTACAGAGAAAATTATTTTTTTGATGTTTTTTTTTCTGTTGAAAATTTTCAAAAAAACTTTTATTTATGTCTTCGTATATCAGTTTTTGTGTAAAATTTTGTATGTATGTTTGTTTGTTTGTGTATGTAGTTTGTGTTTGTTTGTTTTTTGCTCAGTAATTGTTTGTTTGTTTGTCTATACGGTTGCACAAATGAGTTCGAGATTGTTTCTCAATTATGTTTTTTCCATGTATGTTTAATTTCTATATTTGATATAACATACACGATATATACACACTTACAAACAAACAAACAAACAAACAAACAAACAAACAAACAAACAAACAAACATACATACATACATACATACATACATACATACATATATACATACAAACATATATACAAGCACACATACATAAACAATTGTTTCTGGTTGCCAGGTGACAGTTTTTTATTGCTCTTATTGATTATTTTTATTATTATTGTTATTATTTATTATTTTGTCATGTGCAAAAGAAACAAAACAATTTGTTAGTTATGTTCCAAAAAATGAAAAAGACATACGTGCACGCACGCACACGCACACACACTCAAAAGCGCACACACACACACACATACACACTTATATACAGATACACAGACATTCACACAGACATTCACACACATACACGTAAACACACATCTATAGATATATACACATTCACTCACACATACATGCATCAATAGATATGCGAATACATACATAGGAAGAATTGAAATAGACTAGGCAGAACAATCTTTGAAACTTAGGGAGGTTGTTGAAGCAGTGCAAAGCACAAAACACGGCGTAGGCTGGCTTCAAAACATGCGGGGGTCAAAGTTCAACAACAAAACAAAAGGTCAGATGATTATTGAAGAAAGACGGCAGAGTAGGACAAGGAAAGAGTTGTGGCTGGCACCAGTGCTGCAGAGTCAACAGGGAAGATGGTCGTCGTAGAAAGAAGTGTTGCAGAGAAACATCAGTTGAAAAGAAATTTGGAATATGGTTCCTCTCCGTTTGGCTTTTCTAATAAGAGGAATGTACGATCAGCTGCCAACAAAAACGAATTTGGTTCGGTGGAATTAGTCGGCACAGGACAAATGTCGGCACACTCTGTGGAAGTCACGAGAAACTCGCGCATGTGCTGTCGTCACGTCAGTAAGCTCCAGGCCACGGTCAGTTTACATGGCCCAACAACAAAGTTTTGAAAAGCATAGAAGAAACGGTTTGTTCCGCTTGCAATGACGCCAAATCTTATTCTGCCTGAAATCCGAAGGTGTATTTCATAAGAGAATGAAATAGCAGAGACGTCAAACATGACCGAGTGGAAGATGGTTTCTTAAAAACGCCAACGTAAGAAGACGAAATTTCCCAACGTACATCAAAGAAAGAGGCATGAGACTTGACGTAGTGGTGGTGACATCTGGGAATACAAATTCAGTTATCGTTATTGAACCAACTGCGTCGTACGAAACTCAGTAGCCACGATTTAAAACTGCAAAGTATGAGCAGCTGATTTAAGATTTAAACAAGAAAGGATGCAAAACCAGGTTCTACGCTGTTGAGGCTGGTGCAAGAGGAACAGTGGGAGTGTCGGTGTATACACTTTTCAAAG